TTTTTTAGCAAAGGAAAACGAAAGAAAGGAAGCTATACTGACCTTACTTGGCAGACGTTCTTTCCTAACGATCAGATTCATATACAAGCTTTCCGTAAAGGATAAGAAAAAAAGAGGATTCGGATGGTTCAGAAGTTTATTATGAAAGGACAGGTATCTGGATTGAGCTAAATCGGAAACATATGGTACATTAAGGTGATTATGGATGATTTTATTTGTGACAAAGTAGGGAGCATTGAGGATTTTGGATTGTAAGGATTGGATACGAGAGGAATTCCATGTTTTAGTAGAGCCCCGAAGTTCGATACCGTAAGTCCAAATAGGCCTTATTATAGTAATATATATGAATCTTTTTTAAATAGTTTGGAAGTATAGAGCGTTTATCTAGTAAGTGTTGGAGTAAGCGGAAACGTCGGGTGGTTTCTAGTAGTTTCAGTCTGGTACAACTAGCTTTTAAATAGATTTTTAGTTCGTCAAAGATTTATGATGATAAGTAGCAATACAGCTTTTTGGCTATACATTTTTTTTTCTGGGCCATGTGAGAGAGCGGGGCATTAATACAAGAGTTAAAAACCCTCCCTAAAAGTATAAATATATTTCTTCCGTTTTTTTTTTTCCTTCAGCGAATGTAGCCGATTAATTCTTGAGCCAACAAACTTCGCTTAAAACAGCGTTTCAAAGTTTTTTCAAATCGATTGTTTTGCTATACTCTATGATGTAAAGATATAAACAGTCTATTTTATTGATTATAATTATTAATCAATTAACATAGTTTTAAAAACGTTTTGAATGGTTATGAAAAAGAGCAATGATTTTATTTTGAATATGCAGAAATTATCTACAGAAAAACTACGTAAAATTTGGAAAATGTAATCAATTTCAGATCATAATCAGGAAATATAATCCACAATTATGCAGAACTTCCAAAACAGCTAAATAAATCATGTTTTTTCCTTAAACCAGTAAACAACACAAAATTAAAAATTATAAAAAAAAATATGGAGCCTTAATATTTTTATTAGAGCGATCTAAGCTACAAAATTTTAGGAGTAGCTGCTATTTGCTAAATCAAATGAAACTATAGATGAAAATGAGGTAAATGTTTTTGTTTTTATTTTTGACGTGTCCTTTCTGTGATGAAATTCTGCCTAAAAAGGGATTTTTGATGAAATTATAAAAATTTGTATACAAGTTTTTAAATTATGAAATTGTTAGTTATTTATATATTTTATTTACAGGAAAATCGTTTTAGGTTTTACCATAGAATAGGGATGAGATTGATGCCATCAAAATATCAAACTTGAAATACCGATACTACGGAGAGTTGATAATTTCATTGATTTTAAAAACAGTTTTGAGAAAACAATAATTTTGAAATATAAATGCCAATGTAAATGTTGATTCTCTAGCACATGGGCGCATCAAAAAAATATTTTATTTTCATAACCAATTGTATAGTATGCATTTGTTGTAGTTGTTATTTTGATTAGTTTAGTTGTTTTGTTTATATACATTTATTTTTATTATTATTAGTTTCTGTATTATTTATTGTAAATAGAGTGTGAGTGTGTTGTCTGGACAATATTATAAATGTCCTTGATTGTGACAGAATGTAATATTTCGGAATAAACAAATAAAAAAAAGTTTTCATAAAAAAATTAATTATTGGAAATATTAATTCTTCTACCCTCCTTAGTGAAATTAATTTCCTGGTTTCTGTCTATTCCAAATTTTTCCATAGATTTCCATTTGACCATTTATCCAGTCCATTCACCAATAGATCGGATTCAGCTAAAGGCTAATTTATTTGCATCTCGCAGAGATTTCATTGACAATTTGTGGCCTTGGTTTAAAAAAAGTTCCAACTAACAAATTTCGGCGACTTGAGTTTTCACTCAGAAATCACTCACAACAGAGTTATCTATGCTCCAAATGAATTTTAGTGCCCTTTGTTTAAAAATAAAGAAAATAGCAGTGTGACATAATTATAATTACTCACAATTTTTTTAATTTTATTGGTTTGAGAAGTTTCTAACTGCTATAGGCTACATGATTATTTTAATCATGATGAATCAATAATTCATAATTATTTTAATGAGCGTTAAATATGAAATTATATCATAAATCTGTATTGTTTAACTATAATAGACATATGTATTGAATATTTAGAAAAACTGAACTATACTAAAATTGTAGAAGATTAAGTATCTAAAAAGTGTATTTTGTGTAAACAAACAAATTTCAAATTATTATGTATTAATTATTCTTGTGTTCAAATTTACTCTATGTATGTTTATGTTATCTTTTATTATCTCATATATAGTATAGTGTATATATATATATATATATATATATATATATTATATTTATTTTATATTTTTTTCTGCTTTGGTTATTTACATTTATTTTCCTTTCTTGTGTACATATTGTCTGAATGAATACTATAGCCCTATCTATGTTGGCTTCCGCAAATTAGTTTCTGAATTCTCCATTGTATTTAAAATTATTCCAAACATTAAAAGCAGTCGTTATTATTTGGTTGGTTTTTTGCCGCCATCTTTTTCCCTTTTTGCATATCTAACACTGCGTCGCGTTAAGACGTTTAATATGTGTGAACCTTAACTTTCAAGCTTTTGGTTTATTATTGTTAATAATGAACTTGCCTGTGGCTGTAGCAACCTTACTCAATTTCCGCTGGCTTTTAATACCAGTGAAGTGGTTGAGGAAGAAGCGCAGGGATCTCCTGAAGCCTTGCTTTCCCTCCACATGTGGGGGAACAGGTATGGTTCGGAGTTCCCATGGCCTAGTGTAAATACGTATGCCTGCGTCTATGATGTTTATTTTCATTACTTTTTTTTTTAAGATAATTTTAATTCTATTTTATTCATTTATTTTTATTCTATTATTACTATTATTTATATTTTCTTCCTTCACTATGGTATTTTATTTTGTTTTTTTTTAGCTTTATATTATTTGAAATTAGCTTATTTTATTTTATTTTTTAATTTGTAAATATGGTATGAATGTGCTCTTAGAACTCTATTATAAATGTCCTTTATTGAGACAGATTGTAATATTTATCAATAAACAAATAATTCAGTAAAATAATGAACCATTGTGACCGAACGAAAAATTCAAAAACTTAAACCCCTCTCAAAATTTGAGGTTTTACGATTCGGAGTACGTAGGATTCGAAAAACGAATATTTTTTGTCCATCCGCCGTCCGCGTATTTTCTCCGAAACTACTGGACAGATTTTTTTCAAATTTATATTTAAAGTCAGAGGTCATCCAAGGATGATCTTCCTTCATCGACATTTGTATCCGCCTTTTCCTTTCAAGATAGCGAGCGAAAAACCTGCGTTGCTATAGACTGTAGCGCCTAAACGAATGTACCGATTTCAATGAAACTTCGCTAAAGTATTCTTATCTATGCCCTTTAAATTTATCTACATAGCATACTTCAACGAAAAGAAGCTGGAAAATAAATTTACGAGGGTTGTTTTTTTTTTTATCTTTTATTATGCTATTTACAACTGTATTATTACGAATACATCAAGTAAATGTGTACAGAGGAATATTATCACATGAAACACGATTGTTGAGAAACTACCCATTGGTAGCACTCACACCAATAATTTGTCTACATGAAGAGATCACGAGGCAATCTTCTTTTCAGAGGTCTCGGAGGGTTATCAGGAATCGAAGAGGAAGCAAGGTTAGAAACAAGAGGATTCGGATGGTTATGAAGTTTATTATGGAAGGATTGAGCTAAATCGGAAACATATGGTACATTAAGGTCTTTATGGATTATTTTATTTATGACAAAGTAAGGAGCATTGAGGAGTTTGGATTGTAAAGATTCAGATACAAGAGGAATTTGATGGTTTAGTGGAGTCCCATAGCTCAATTCCATAAGTCCGAATAGGTCTTATTATAGTCATGTATATGAGTCGTTTGTAATCAATTGGAAGTTTAGAGCGTTTGTCCATCGAGGAATGTTAAAATTATATTCCGAATAACTTCGTTTTTTTTTAATGTGTTACTGAAGTAATACTAATTTTTTTAGCATATTACTAATGATTAAAAAAATAATGATTAGTAAGAATCACTTTTTATTTATTTTTCTTTGTAACTACGAAGATAATTTTACTTTCGATGTATAATTGTTTGAAAATAATAAACCATTTTGAAATAATTTGCATTGTTTTTTACCTTCCATATCGTCTTGAGGTAGTGATCAACGGTCAATTTGCTAAGGTTAATTTTTTCTGCAAGTTCTCGAACCAAAGCCCGCAGAACATCATCATCAAGAGAGGAAGACCTTCCACGATCTTCCTTCTCTTAAAGGCTGAAGTCTCCCTTCCGAAATTTTTTGAACCACCGTTGAACAGTGCAATCATTAATGCTGCTCTCGCTTCAGACTTGAATCATGTTTATAGCTCCAATCCGGCTGAGTTTAAACTCGTAAAATAGAATTATACGAAAAACACGCGTTGACATCTCAATTAAGAACTCACAAACTTTGTTTACAGTACATGCATAACCATACTATAACACTTTAGGAGGTTAGCACATTAAGCATTTACAACAAGTGCATGAATAATCCTTATTTTGAATAACTAAGAGGATGGAATGCTGAATATTTTCCTTGTGTACAGTGTTTAGATCCGAATTTTACTTTCTGAATTATTTCAATCCAAATGCATAATGAATCGACTGGAGCCGTCTTTACCCGAATTTGCGTTACATATCCCAGCATGACGCATCAGTCTTATTCACTACCCTCAAAAAAAGTGCAAAGCACTCCTGAATAAGTTTTAACTCCAAAAATACCCAAGAAATGAACATCTAAAATAACTTTTTTGCAACATCAAATTTAATGTTCAAAAATTTCCTTAATCGAATATATAATTTATATATTATATATTATATAAATTATATATTATATTATATAATATATTATATATTATATAAATTTGATCAAATCGCAAAGACAGGATGACCCTGGCCGAGACGAAGAAGTGTATCAAGTAGGAGGGATTGATGTAAGTTGGGAGAAAGTGGAGTTGTGGTATATAAGGTTCCGCCGGCTATCCAACGGCAACACACTCCGACCAGCATCCGCAGCATTCAAGTCTCCAGGATGTATCAGACATTTAAGGTACGTACGCATCCACACAGGCCGATCTACTTTAGGAGGCGATAGGGGGGTTTTCGAGCTGGAGTCCCCCCCAAAATGGTAAAATTTAACCATGTTTTATGATAAAAAAAATACTAAAAAATTATCTCTTAAAGTATTATTGTTCGTGTATTTAAAGTATTACATTTAATAGGACTTCAAGAATCACTTGAACACCATTTCATATATATACTTTCTTTTTTTTTATTTTAATGAAATTTACAACTGTATTACATGGAAAACACAACAAGTAAATGCCACATTGGTTACATGACATGTACAACATCAAATCAAAGTTCTATATTAGAAGGTCCCGAGGCCATCATCTTTTCAGACGCCTCGGAGGGTTATCAGGAATCGAGGAGGAAGCAAGCTTAGGAAACGAGAGGATTCGGATGGTTCTGCAGTTTGTTATGCCTTATTATTGTCAAATATATGAGTCGTTTGTAATTGATTGAAAGCTCAGAGCGTTTGTGTAGTAAGTGCTGCAGTAGTCGAAAACGTCGGACGGTTTCTAGTCGTTTCAGTCTGGTATGGGGGTTCCAAGTGAGTCGTTTCGTCAAGGTGGAGTCCTAAGTATCGGATTTGTGCGACAGGGATAAGAGGGCCATTTCATATATGAAATCAATATCTTTCTTTTTTTTCAAAGTAATTATCGTTATACATACATATGAAAAAAAAGTTTTCTGGCTGACGCCCTCCCCCAAAATGAAATACTGCACCTGCAAGTGCGCATCCACATGGACATATGGTCATATACAGAAAAAAAAAATAATAGAAATTTATAAGAGCAAAACTATTTTAATTTTTTTAATTGTTTTGAACAGATGAAATCTGTGTAACTCTTTCACATCTTTCCAATTTTTTTTTTTTTTCTCACCCTTATAATTTGTGATCAAACTTTGGATCTTCATTCGGAGTTCGAAATACTCGGAAATCTCGAAAACGTATTATCGCTTTACTGGTGCAACACGATTGTTGGAGGTTTAAGTCATGAGTTTAGCAATATTACTCATATGTAACTTCATCTACGACAAAACGTATAGGATATTATTTGTTAGCGTTAACATTTCCGTGTTGGGCCTACTATTCACGTTTTTTTAAATTTATTATTTTCAATAATCAACCATTGCGATCGACTAAAAAATTCAAAAACTTAACCCCCTCTCAAAATATGAGGTTTCACGTTTCAGGATGCGTAGAATTCGAAAAACGAATACAAATTTTTTTATTCGTCCGCCATCCGCTCATTTTCTCCAAAACTGCTGGACCGATTTTTTTCTAATTTGGATATAAAATCAGAGGTCACCCGATGATGATCCTCCTTCATCGACATTACTATCCGCCTTTTATTTTCAAAATGGCGGCCGAAAAACCTACGATGTTATAGACTGCAGCGCCTAAACGAATAAACCGATTTCAATGAAACTTCGCTAAAGTCAATTTCTCCACGCTCTTTAAATTTATCTATATAACATACTTCAACGAAAAGAAGCTGGAAAAGAAGTTACGAGGGATGGTGAAATTAAATTCCGAATAACTCAAAAAGTTTTCACTTTTTTGTCGACATTGTATTTAAAAGTTTACATTTCCTAAAAAACAGAAAACAAAATCGTTAAAATCGGACAATTATGAGCAATGATATGGTCTCCGTTTTTATTTTTTTATTTTCTACTCCAAATGTTATATCCTTTGTTTGGTTTTTAAATTTTTAATGTGTCATTGAAGTAATGCTATTTTTTTTTTTCGTGTATTACTGACGATAAAAAAAAAAAAGTTTAGTCTATTAATTGGAATCACCTTTTATCTTTTTTCTTTGTAACTACGAAGGTAGGGTTACCTTAGATGTATAATTGTTTGGAAATAATAAACCATTGTGAAATAATTTGCAGCGTTTTTTAAATATCATTAAATTTAATCGCGAATATTGAGCGTTTCACATACACTCATTAACAACGTAAGATTTTTTTTTTTTGTTTTTTTTATCTAACCAGAAGCGAATTGGCGTATTACAATTAAACCTGTAGAATTAATAACACAAAGTTAAGAATCTAAACTCTATTTCAAAACTGAACTCTCTTTATAAATAATAAATCTATTAACATTCTTACAATATGAGCCTTACAAAGTCCCCTGCTATCGGTTATAGAGAACGTCCAATACAAAGAGCTCATTTATACTGTGTAGTATTATGTAAATAAGACAGTGATTATAAAATTGTCCGCTATAGAGAAAAGTTGGTAACGGCTTACTTGTTTAACTACACCACAACGCCAATCAAAAAACGAAAATTTTGTTTTCAATTATCAAAAAACGTTTTCAATAATACATTTTTTGAACCAACACAACAATACCAAAAATACTTACTTTTATTTATTTTAACTGAGTCTCATATATTTCTATTATATATTATTTTATTTATTTACAATATATTCTCGGAATGTTATCCTCTACTGCTCATTTCTCAATAACTAAAAACAAATGACAGAAGACCCTCCTAAGGTAAACCTAGCCTGAATAAAATTAATCTTAAGGAGACCTACTAGATATATTTTCATGAAACTTTCAAAGTTGTGCGTCCTAGTATCTAGACGGTTCTCTATCAATTTATCAACAAGTCCATCCGCTACTTTCGCACACGCACACGTACATATTTATTATTCACTATTTATTATTTACATATTTATTTATTATTTTCTTATATTCCCATTATTTTAAAAACGACTTATTCGATGTAGATAAAAGTTGGGATCTATTTTATCGAATTCAATCCATTACATTCTCGTAGCAATATATTTAAAAGTATTTTTTTTTTTTTTTTTTTACTTGATTATACCTAAAGTTGGAGATAAGTGAAAAAAGGACCATAAAGGTTATTTGATGGGATTTATTTTAATACTCCATCTTCGACACCATGTTTGTGCTATATGATTGACTAGTAGAGATGCCATTTAAACAGAACAAAAGTAGAAGATTCCTAACAGTGCGTTTGAGACAACTAAAAAGAAATGGCAGCCGATGATATATTTCCGGCAACATTATCTATGATAAATGACCCCTGTTGATATAGCAACTAAATATGGTAATTAAATTATAATATTAAAAAAGTCCTATGTATTATATCACAGGTTGATTATGGATTGTACGATCCGTAGATCATGTATTGCACTATCAATTGATTATGGATTTTAATAAAATTATTAAATTACAGTAAATATATTTAAGGTTATAAACTTATGCATGAAATTATTTTATATTTTACTTCTTCTTTCACACAAGTACAATGAAATAGTTATTTAAACAATGTCATTGCCTTTATTAGGTGGATTTTAAATATTTCTTTCAAACTTAAAGATATTTTAAAAGGTTGCATTTAGTTAGTAAATTTAATTTAATTTCCTTGAAAACATGTGATTTAAGTTAAATATTGTTAGTTTTCAAAAAATATTATTTATATATTTTTTTGTCAATCTCCGTTTCCTTTTACAACTTTCTATATTCGATATTGTTTTTTCTAAAATTCTCCGCTTTCCAACGATATATTATACATATATCTTCGGACTAGTATTTCCAGAGATTCATTTTCGACCTGGATAAGCATTTTTATTTTTTTCTCCTTTATTCAATTATCAAATTCTTTCAAAAGTTATATTTAGCATTTTTCATAACTTTTAATAATGAGAGATAATTTATTATTTAAAATAAACCATATTAAAGGTACTTTAGAGGAAGACGCATATTAACATTGATCGTTTAAGCCCTGTAAAGTGACATCAACGGGGATACGATCTAAATGATATTAAAGACCACTTAATTATACAATGATACAGTGAGTTTAATCAAAATCGTTAGAACCGTTTTTGAGAAAATTGTAAAAATGTGTTTCAGCGTGCATATAAAGTGGCACTTCATGTTAGCCGATTTTAACGAAAAAGTTGCTGTCACATCCGGCCCATATACAAACCTTAAATACTTAATATCAGTTTCGTACTACTTTTCGTTTATGAGCGAGACTGTGAACACATACACACAGACCATTTTGCGACACTTGTTTATTTGGACTCAGGAGACCTCAAAACAAGCATTTCCGTTGAAAATTGAGATTCGAAAATTTTCGCGATCGCAATACTTACCCTTACTATATATTTCATATATACGTAAGTGAAAGTAAAAATGGGCAGTGATCTAAGAAAGGTGTGTTGCAGATATTGCAGCTGTGCCTCCTGGTGGGGTTAGCGGCCGCCGGAGAGCAGAAGGAGAAGAGAGGAGTGCTCACCGGCCTCCACGGCTTCTCAGGATCCTACGGCAGCGGCGGAGGCGGCTACTCCTTGGGCTCCCACGGGATAGGCCTTTCCTCAGGTAGGTCGATTCATCGATTGCTCTTCCAATAGCTCATTGAGGTCATTGAGTTCGTTTATGTGCTTCATGAATTTGTTTTCCAGGCTCCTATGGAGGTAGTTACGGATATGGAGGCGGTTATGGCGGCGGCTACGGAGGCGGCTATGGAGGCGGCTATGGAGGCGGCTATGGAGGCGGTTTGGGAGGTGGATTAGGAAGCGGACTTGGAGGAGGACTGGGAGGAGGACTTGGAGGAGGATTTGGAGGCGGCATCGCGATCTCGCAGACCCCGACCACAGTGAACACCATCAACACCGCGGTCGCAGTGCCGGTGCCGCAGCCGTACCCGGTCACCGTCAACCGTCCCGTGCCAGTGCCAGTGCCACAACCGGTTCCAGTGTCTGTCCCCCGACCAGTTCCAGTTCCAGTTCCACAACCTGTACCTGTTACAATAAACAGGCCAGTGCCAGTCACCGTTAACCGTCCAGTCCCTGTCCCAGTGCCCCAGCCCGTTCCCGTCTCTGTCCCACAACCCATTCCAGTGTCCGTCCCTCAACCTTACCCCGTCACAGTGACTAGGCCAGTTCCAGTTCCACAGCCGGTGCCCGTTGTGGTTCCACAAGTTGTACCTGTTTCTATCGGAGGAGGTGGTGCTGGACTCGGAGGTCTTGGCGGAGGTCTTGGAGGTGGTCTCGGAGGCGGACTCGGTGGAGGTCTGGGAGGTGGATACGGAGGAAGCTATGGTGGTGGATACGGAAGCAGCTACGGTGGTGGATACGGAAGCAGCTACGGTGGTGGATACGGAAGCAGCTACGGTGGTAGTTTGAGTGGTCATGGAATCAGTCTTGGAAGTGGACTGAGTGGTCACGGCCTCAGCCTCTCCAGCGGCCACTACGGGTCTTCCGGACTGAGCTCCCTGTCTCACGGCAGTGGATCCTCGTACTCCAGCAGCTACCACCACTGAGTGAGTTCCCCTATATCCTGACTATAACTCCTTATTTATTACTGTACCACTAACATTGATATAAGTATAAGATAACTTGGACATCAAATTTGTCCTACCGTTTTAAAGGCAACTCCATGCACTTTTATTCAAACCAATAATCATGAATATTAACGGTTCAAATCGGAACAGAGGTTCAAATCGTATTGCATGGGGTAATGGTCCTAATAAATCTAATTATTCGTGCTATCATTTTGAATATTATATTTTCCTTCGTACTAAAATAATAAGAGCATCACCTGCAAAATTTAGGAAAACAGTTTTGAAGAAAATTAAAAATTTGATCGTGATAGATTTCTAAATATCCTACAAAACAAAAGCAAAAAGCCCTCCAAATCAGACATTTTTGATCAAAGACACAGCCCTTCTATTTTGTACACATGTGTTTGTTTATTATTAGGAACGGATCGAATCGACCAAGAATAAAAAAAAAAATAATCTCTTCATCTTATTATAATGCATTTAATTTTCATATTGTGTTGTTATTAGTTCACTGACCAATATAATAGGCGAATTATTCTCACATACCAAATATATAGTTATTATTTATACTGCATACATATAATATATAATTATTAAAATAAATCATATTTTGCTCCAGGTTGTGGTACATGACTGATCGAAAGAGTTCTCTTTGATATACATCATCGCATCCATTTTGATTACATCTTCATCTTTCATTCATCAGTATTATCTTCATTACATCATCACATCATCGTCACATCCTTAGTTCGTAATTTATACGTTAAAGTGTACTGAATTCGTATATATTTTGTGTACAGTATTTAAAAAAAGAAAAATAATTTTAATAAAAGTTTTTATATATTTTTTCAAATTGTTGTGTTCTTATTCGCAACCTATTAGCCCAAAGATTTCTTAACATGTAGATTACATATTGTCTGAGATCTTACCATATTAATAATGAACTAGCATACTTCTGTGAGAACTCTACAATTAGATTTGGTAACTATCCTCCACCATATTTTCTCAGATCTTATCATATTAATAATGAACTAGTATACTTCTGTGAGAACTCTACAATTAGATTTGGTAACTATCCTCTCCCGTATTAGACTTAGAGACAGGGCCCAAAAATTTATCTTTTCGTAAGTGAAGGTTTGAATGTAAATTACGAAAGGGTGTGTTATTTTTAGTAAAATGTACATTGTCTGCCTTTCAAAGAATGATTTAAAGAACTTGGGCCAGTTACTTGAAGATTGAAACGAGAAAAATGCGGAGAAAAAATTGTTTTTCTTTTATATATGGATTCAAACATGTAAAAACAAAAATTTCTAACCCGAGCAATCAATGGAAGATTTCTTGCAGCCAAAAAAGCCATATTTTTCCGAGATTTTTTTTTTTTTAACCTTTAACTTCTAACTTCTAGTGCTCTCGACCAATCTCCGCTGGCTTTAGTACCAGTGACGCGGTTGGGAGAGTAGCGCAGGGTTCTCCTGGAGTTCCCTCGCCTGATTGTTTATAGGTATGCATGTGTTTTTTTTTCTTAGTTTTATTTTTTTTATTTTTTAGGTTGTTTTATTTTATTGTCTATTGTATATACTTTTGATTATTATTTTGTTCTATTTATTTTATTTTTTTGTACATATGGTGTGAATGTCATCCTACCTCACTATAACCAATGTCCAACAGACAGATTGTTATAATACTCAATAAAGAAATTAAAAAAAAAAAAAAAAAACCTTTAACTTCTAAACGGCACGTCAAAGCGGAAAAATACTCTTTGCTAACGCCGCATACACTTATACCTTTTTTTTATTATTATTATTTCTCATCATTTTACCCCTTTTTAAATGTTAGTAATAAAATGTTTATTTAATTTTTTCTGTAAAAGGCCAAGGAACAATCGTCCCACAAATGTATTTAATTGTACATTGTTTATATATTTAGCTTAATTTTAGGTATTATCGCGTTTGTTTATACGCAACAGCCCCGCAGTAATACTGAGATTAGGTATTAAGACAACCAAAATACCGCGATAAGACTGCCGGGATGCGGTCTAGAGTCAGTCTGGAACTAGCTTTCGTTTATGTTGGATCCACGTATTAGACATTTACCCCCACCAATTCACCAGCTCCAGGCTAAGCTCGCCTCACCTGGCACCAGCCTAGCGCCATTTTCAAACAAAAGCTGTTCGGCGCCTCGGCAGCCATCGATCGAGATCGATAGGCCTATCGACTCGATACTTCCCCACCATCGACTAGTGTGACATCGTACTAGATAACCTCATTAGAAGCAGAACCTCCAACTTGGCTCGTTTCTACTTTCCTACCTATACTAGGTAAGGAAAGTATTGCAATCGGGTCAAATTTCCGACATGCGGTTTTCGACGGATGTATACGTTTCAGAGCCCCCTGAGTCCGATAAACACATATTTAGCCATTGGTCTGTCTGTTCTTGCCAAGATTTTCTCGATAACTACTGAACCGGTTTGCTGCTTCTTTTTTTATTTTGTAGGGTTTTGACTACTGATGCCTATGACAGAAATTAGGTGCTCCATGCGCAATAGCTTCGGCGCAATAAATGAAAAACATGTTTTTCTATATACTGTTGCGCAAAAACGGCTCTAACGATTTTAATGAAACTTTGCTATAATGTTCTAATCATTGTTCTTTCAATTTTCGTATATAGACTAAATTCCCTAAAAAAATTCAGGAAAAAAAAGTTATAAAGAAAAGAAAAATGTTATAAAAATCTAGAAATTTAGAAATATCTATTGCCCGCATTCACTCTTTCCTCTACTTTTAACATAAATTATTGTTTGTCAATACTAAGCTATGACAAAAAGTTTTTGATCAGCAATATTAGGAAGTATTGAAATTTTGACACTGATCTACCTTTACATTGCTTTAGTTTATAAAATAAATCTTACTCAAATCTTTTCTTTGATCAATTTTCTGGAAAATAAATCTAATTCATATAAAAACTTTTCTGAAATAGGTAGGAAAGTCGTGTGAGTGGACACACCAGAAATTTTTATTCTTCACCGTCTCCGAAAGACATTTTTTTTTTTTATTTATTCATGATATTTGCAACTGTATTAAAAAATTAAATACATTAAGTAAATTTGATAACAGAAAATAAAAACATGAAATGACTTGTTGAGAAACTACCCACTGGTAGCACTCTAAAAACAAAATGTATTTACAATAAGAGATCTCGAGGCCATCTTCTTTTCAGACGCCTCGGGGGGTTATCAGGAATAGAAGAGGAAGCAAGGTTAGAGACAAGAGGGTTGGGATGGTTATGAAGTTTATTATGGAAGGACTGATATCTGGATTGGGCCAAATCTGATACATAAGGAACATTAAGGTCATTTTTTTAAAACACTTTATTCAGAAATATTACAATTTGTCACAGTTAAGGACACTTATAATAGAGTTCAGAGATTGCATTCATACCGTATATACAAAAATATAAATAAATAAAGTAATAACAAAAGAATAAGAAGAAAGAACAAAAGAGTAAAGAAAAAAAAATAATATATATACACATAAGTAAATAAAAATAAAAATAAAAGTAAAACAAACACCTTATATAAAACATACATTATTTACAATTTGCCAGGTGATCTCCGAACCAATCCTGTCCCCTCCACATGTGGAGGGAAAAGGGAGGCTTAGGAGATCCCTACGCTTCTCCCTCAGCCACTTCACTGGTATTTTAAACCAGCGGAGGATGAGTAAGAGCGCTACAGCCACAGACACTCATGACTTGAGTGGAGAATCTGGCCATTGCTAGAACTCCAAAATATCCATATTTACAAAAGGTCTCGTGGCCACTGCCGCTTTAACCTACGAAGGGGATTGTAGGGATGGGTGGTGCTTGATAGGGATTGTACAACGGGATTTGGGTGATGAGAAAGGTTCTGGTGAAATTTGGAAAATTTGGCTGGGATAAGATCAAGAATAAATGGGATATTAAGGTCATGGTGTAGGGTTTTATTGGTTACATAGAAGGGAGCATTGACTATTGTACGGAGGACTTTAGACTGAAAGGATTGAATGCGTTTGATGTTAGAAAATTTGGCTGTTCCCCATAGTTCTAGTCCGTAAGTCCAGATGGGTTTCAGTATTGTCTTGTAGATCAGTAATTTGTTTTCACCAGAAAGTTTAGATTTTCTATTCAGTAGTCTATATAGCTGGCCATATCGTCTGTTAAGTTCCTGTCTTTTAAGTCGAGTATGTGGATTCCATGTTAGTCGTCTGTCTAAGAGAAAGCCAAGATACCGGACTGTATCTGAGAAAGGAAGCTGGATGGAGTTAAAATAAACTGGTGGGCAGGTATTACGCCGAAGGGTGAAGGTAATGTGTTTACATTTAGATTCGTTTACCTTAATGCGCCATTTCTTACACCAGTGTTCAATCAGGAAGAGGTGCCTTTGTAAGTTTGCGGACGCTGTTTCAGGATCTGAGTTGGAAGAAAGGATAGCAGTGTCATCAGCGAAAGTTGCCAGGAGGGTATCGGGATGGACAGGAATATCAGCGGTAAAGAGAATGTAAAGGATGGGGCCCAAGACGCTGCCTTGAGGAACGCCAGCCTCAATTGAGTAACAGTCGGAGAATTCGGTGCCACAGCGAACTCGGAAGGAGCGGTCGGAAAGATAGGATCGGAGTACTAGGTATAAGGACTGTGGTAGATGGATTTTAAGCTTGAAGAGTAATCCGGCGTGCCATACCCGGTCAAAAGCTTGCGCTATGTCCAGAAATGCACCCGAGCAATACTGCTTGCTTTCTAGGGTTGAGGATATATGGTCAACAACTCGGAGTCCTTGCTGGACAGTGGAATGTTGGGAACGAAATCCGAATTGATGAGTAGGAAGGTTATAGGATTCAATTATAGGTAGGATTCGTTTCAGTAGGATCTTTTCAAAAATTTTTGAGAGGATTGGGAGTAGGCTAATTGGTCTATAGGATGCTGTATTGTTGGAAGGTTTGCCTGGTTTCAAGAAGAGGACGATGGTGGAATGTTTCCATAAAAGAGGGAAGTGGGTAGTTCGTAGGATGCAATTGTATATATATGTAAGAAATATGATGGCTTTAGATGGAAGTTGTCGAAGGATCTGTGGGGTTAGAAGGTCATATCCAGGAGATTTGCGAGGTGTGATTTTCCGTAAAAGGTATTTGACCTCAGAGGGATTAACAGCTTTAGGTGGTAAGGAGAGTGGGATAGGTATTGAGAGGGATTCTTCTACTTTTACTGTGTGGCTGGGATGGGATTCTGGATGAGGAGCGAAAGTATAGGAAAGGTGTTTGGCAAATTCCTCGGCTTTATCTTCATCAGATGCTGCCCAGGAGCCATCATCTCGTCGAAGAGGGTGGGAAATATGATGGGATTTGAGGATTTTTCTGGTGATATTCCAAAGGGAATTATCATGAGCAGAGAGTGTGGTGAGGTAGGAATTGAATGATTGGGATCTGAAGGTGGCTAATTCTTGTTTTAATTTTTTACAGTGATAATTGTAGGAGTGGCGGTCGGCTGGATGTCTGGTACGTTGCCATAATAATCTGGCACGGCGTTTTATGTGGATTAGGTCAAGGAGGTGTTGAGGTAAATTATGTTTCTTAAGGATTTTTGAGGAGTGATCAGGGGAGGAAGCAGTCCAGACTGCTTCTTGAATTTTGGTAGTGAAGGAATGTACTGCATTGTCCAGGTCTTCAGAGGTTTTCAGGGTTACTCTGAGGTCAATTTT